GTGACTGTGTTAGGGTCAGCGGCATTTCCCAATTCCTCGAAGCTTCCAGCCTCAGGATCAGGGTTCCTGGGTCCTACCAGTTATTCTGGTGCTTTCAGCAATAGTGAGCTTGATGTCGTGAACTTTCCATCATCCACCAAATCCACCCCTATCGACCCTCAGCAGGTGGCACGGGGTGCCCAGGTCCTCTTTCTGTTAGAGCACCTACCGTTGTATGCCGAAATTTCAGAGAAGCGTTTTGCCGTTTCGGCGGGATGGGTTTTCGGTATCCAGTTGATGGATCAGTTGTTCAAGGTCCTAGGAGAGGTTTACCGCAATGCAATCCAGGGCTCGGGAAACAAGTATGCGCGCCTTCTGGATCTCTCCAGGGCCTTTTTTAAGAATACATTAACTCCTATCGTGACCCATGACTCGATGTCGTTGGCCGAATACTTCTCGTTGGCATCGCCGCGCTGGGACATGTTATCTTTACTTTTCGCCTTTGTCGGTACGGCAACATACCAAATACCACCGCATGGTCTGGGACTGGAGCATCAGGACGAAATAACAAGCAAAGAAGGGTTGCGACAAATATGCATGCAGGCAAGCCAGACATGTCTGCAGTTTTGCAATCATTTAGGGACCCTCAGTGACCCTTTGTCGTGGGCTATGCTCCAGCATGCAATTTATCTATCGCATATGCATGGCAGTAGCGGTATGTCATTGACAGTTATATCATGGTTCATATAGCAGCTAAGGAAAGCCTAGATCACAGAACATGGCAAATGCTCGGAGATATCACGACCACAGTCTTCGCACTCGGACTGCACCAACCCGATACCGATACCACAGCTCCATTCTTTTTGAAGGAGATCCGGAAAAGAACGATGGTTGGGGCATATGCGCTTGACAAAGAGCTTGCAACATTCCTAGGCAGGCCACCACGGATATGTTGGCGTTATTGCAATATCCAATACCCATTGGACATGAGCCACGAGGAAATTGTTGCCGAACCCGCTATAAGAGACGCAGCTATTGCACGCTTAGATCCCGAAGGATGGAATATCGACGGCCGCATCGACAAGGGAGCCAACGCTCGAGCCGGACTGGCTGCTAGTATCGATAAAGAGAACGCGTTGGAAATATCACTCAGTAACAGGCTAGACGGATTAGAGGAAAAGGTTCAGTGAGTGGCATGAGATCAAAGCTACGATCGGACTAGCATTAACTAGTAGCTGCTGAACAGAAATGCTTGCAAAAAGTCAGACGAACTACGACGCAGTCTACCTGCATGCCTACAGTGGACAGAGGATAAAACAGATCCGCAAGTTGCATCTTATCACGTGGAATTTCTTTACCATGAGTTCCTGCTATTGCAGACTCTCTACAAACGGGTTGGAAAGGGCATTGATGCTTTCGCCAACAAGGCTTTGGAAATCATTAGCACCCTACTGCATATGGTATCATTGGAGACGCGCTCAGGCCGAGTCCACCCAAGCGTCATCTTAGATGTGAGTTTCGGACTTTATTAACTGTACCTTTGCTCCCACTTCTCACCAATCCAGCTCTGCTACATCGGCCTTCCTGCCGCCGGTACGCTTTGCACCGAACTTCTGCGACGATCACAGCCCCAAAATAGCGTAGCTACCGCATTTCCACAAACACCGTTTCCCCGTTCCGACATTATACAGAAGTTGAGCGTTTTTGTCGCGCAGTTGAAAACCTTCTCTCGCCAGCAAGAGGGTGATTACGAGATCTGCATTAAGGGGCAGAGAATAATCTCTCAGGCGCTAGATAGGGTACTCTCACCAGCACCGGTAGGCGTGGTAGCTTCTAGTGATATCGCTTTAGATCATGAGGCCCCAGGAGGTGATATTGGAGATAATGACTTTATGGCGTTTCTGGAAACGTTTGACTGGGAGCAAGAGATGAGGTTGACTTTTGGATGTTGAATGAGCAGCCAAGCACGTCCTGCAACGAGATTACGCGTAGATATTTGCCGTCGTGACTTGAAGTAGCTCAATATCTGCTAAATTGCAACTAAGGGGGTAATGCATGCTATACCTGGAGTCGCTGCACATCTGGTTGAGACCGGTGATATAGTAAGAATGTTCGTTAACGAGCTCGAATAGGTGATTGAGCGGAACGATCGGCGGATTTCAGTAATGATGGAAGGTTTGGATTGAATAGCGCAGTCCCATCTACCCAGATCAGCGAATAATCCCGAGCAGGTGTTTTGAATCCCCACAGTTTTGCGCGTCTTCTGCCCTAATAAACTAGGGTGAAACCGGTAACCTTCTTTTACCCACTGTTTACCAGGCTCTTGGCTGATATCTTCACGGGAACCGGTGGACGGACATCGGAGATGTCTGGGCCACCATCTCCGACCCCGTCGGGTAAGGTCATGAACGCACGGTCGACTAATATAATCTGTGCGGATCGTAATAACGGAAGAGTGACCAAATACCATCATGCTTGGCGTGTGCTATCTACCCCCGAGCACATACGTTGTTTTGACACGCCATGGCTTCTGAAGTCCGAGGGATCTGCATGCCTTGCAATTCGTTTAATAGGCTCACCTGCCGCTATAAGAGCTCTCTCTTCCCTGGTCTTCGAAAGACATAAGATAGTATTCTGCTTCACATCACATCCGATCCCTCGTTTCTTCCAGTGTCTGCGAACATGAGAATCAACGAGAGGTCCACTCGTGGCCTCAGTGTTCTTTCCCTGCTGGCTCCGGTTAGCGCCACTCTCTATGACCAAACCATCCAGCTCGCCCAAGGCAAGGTGCAGGGTGCTGCTGCATTCAACGAAAGCAGTGCCCCTTCCTACATCTCCAACTGGAAAAACATCGCCGTTTGGAAGGGTATTCCATATGCCGCCACAACAGGTGGAGAAAACCGCTGGAAGCCGCCGCAGAGTGCCCCATCCTGGAACGGCACCAGAAAAGCCACTTCATTTGGGCCCAGCTGTCCTAGCTTGTCAGCTGGCGATGGAGTGAGCGAGGACTGCCTGTCGATCAATATCTGGAGCCCCGCAACAGCCACTGATGCCAAGCTGCCGGTCATGCTGTGGTCCTATGCGGCCGGAGGTGAATCCAGCCAGAGTACCTATGACGGTGCAGGAATGGCGGCAAAGGATGTTATCTTCGTCAGCTACAACTACCGCACAGGGCCTCTCGGCTGGCTGACGCTGCATGAGCTGGCCGAGGAGACTGGTGCGACGGGCAACTATGGTCTCCTCGATCAGATCGAAGCTCTGAAATGGGTATATGAAAATATCGCCGCTTTTGGCGGAGACCCCGAGTCCATCACTGTGGCCGGTCAGTCCTTCGGCTCGGGCGCCGCCTACCACTTGGTCAACAGCCCCCGAACCAAAGGTATGATCAAGGGTGCGATCGCAGAGAGTGGCCTCAAGGACCCATACGATCCAGACCTGTGGGGATACGGAAGTGACTACCGGAACATGACCTGGGCGTATGCCTTCAGCAAGACCTACGCAGAGTCACTCAATGCGACGAGCGTGGCCGACTTGCGCTCTATGAACCTCGAAACGGTCCTTAGCGGTACTGGTGTTTCCGATTTCACCGGCTTCGATCCAGTGCTCAACTACCATGCCATACCAAACAAATACATCGTCAACCTGGACGAAGGTGCACCCAATGACGTGCCCATCCTAGTCGGAAACAACAAAGACGAGAACGGAATTGATCTGTCCACGACCTATACCGTCGCCGAGTACAAATCAGAGATAAACTCCACCTACGGACCTTACGCCGCCGAGCTACTGGCGCTGCATCCGGCCGAAAACACCACCCAAGCCACAGCTGCCTATAACTCAATCCTACGTGCTGGCTACTGCACCTCCACCTGGTCATGGGCCAAGCGCTGGAACCAGTCCTCCACTGAGCCCGTTTACTACTACCTCTGGACCTACTCGCCCCCTGGCTCGGACGGAGCCACCCACGGCTCGGAGGTGTCCTACGCGTTGAACAACCTCTACGCCCAGACAACCTCTTCGTATACAGACACTGACTACGAGGTGGCCAATATCATGTCATCGTACTGGGCCAACTTTGTCAAGACGCAGAATCCGAACAAGGGCGGCTCTTACAACAACGGTACCCTGCCGTACTGGGGTCCTAACGTGCCGGCTCAGCAGAACACGTTCGAGCTTGGCAGCCTGTGGAAGAAGATTGCTTTCGCAACGGCCAAGGAGATTCAGTTGTACTTGGAGTACTTCAAGTATGCTACGCCCAGTCCGTACTAGATATAATGGGCAATGTACATATATTTTCTCCCGTTCGGGGTTGACATTCTCTACTATTAGCTAGCTTTGCCTGAAACATTGTATATCATACGTCGTTGAGCAACCATCAGTTACACTAAATGATTATTTCGCTCCGCTGTGAGAGGATATCTACTCCCGCGTACCCGCACATCAACACTGTGCATGATACACTGGCAGACACTAGCACCGTAGAGGAAACAGGTCCGGTTCCAGACGATAGTCTGGGAGTATAATCAAGATGGTAGGATTGATTAGGATTCGGAAATTTAGTGAACCTAGGTGACATGGCACGGCAAGTAACGGAATTTGTGAGGATACATTACGTAGGGCCGTCGGGGATCGGAGGGAGAAAGACATGGCCACCTCCGACTGAACCCTCAAATAGGGTCTCCCGAGGCACAGAGTATCCCCACAGGGCCGGGATAGCACACCCTGTGCCCGTCCAAAACTCGAATCCCTACAATTTTTAAATTGGCGTTTCGATCTAAAATACAAAGTGGACATTGTCTGATGGATAACAAGAAAGCAAAAAGAACAGTGAATGAGGAATGAATGAGGAATGAATGTCAATGCCAAGGCAATTTTCGTTCCTGTAGCAGGTTATTAAGATGTTTTGCATGAATTGAGAGACTGTCTGGTGCCTAGAACACAAGAACCACAAAGCTTAAGCCAGATATGCGGAGTGTTGCATCCATATCCATAACACTGCCCCAGTACCACAACGCCTTATTTCAGAAGAGGGTCTTGTCGTTGGCAAGGTCATCGAAAGTAATGGACATAGTTGTATTGAAGCTGATGGTGTTCGTCGCATTTCGATACTTCGGGCAGTAAATCTTGTCATCAAGCCAGAGAGTGTTGGGGTTGCCGGTTAGGACGAACGCAAGGAGGTACTGTTGCATGGTGCGCTGCAAAGGAAAGTCAGTCCGTAGAAATAAAATAGCCATCAATCGGAGAAAGAACATACCGCAACGGTGACATTGACTGACGAGGAGGAAGAAGAAGTCAACCCATTAGTTGGCACATTACTATAAATATTATACCAGTAATAAGTCTAATCCGTACCATGAGTAGCTTCCCCAAGATTGACAATACCATTCCACATCTCATTATGCAGCGCCTGAGTCAGAGCCAAGTTCTTGCCGGTCATGTCGAAGCCCTGACGAATGTCGGCAAAACGGTAACCTGCATTCGCGTAACGCGAGGCAGGATAAAGTTTGAGGATCTCTTCAACCACATCTTCCGTGATTGAGGGGAAGTACATTTGCAGCTCGGCAGCAATATCTGCTGCGCTGGTGACATAGCTGGAGCTATGGCTGTTTTCTTCGTGGCGCTCATGGGAGGTCACAACGGGACCGCTGAAATGGAAGTTCTTCTGGTACAATTGTGCTTCGTCTTGGAACTGTCGGCTTCGTTGTCGTGAAGTAAGTACTGAGGATGGGAGAATTACAAGTATCGGCAACTATGCCCCCATCTATCCGCGGCTGGAGCTGGTAGCTGTATTTGCTGGCGACTTCGCTGTCAATGGTCATCAGAGTTGTGTAATTCACGGAGCGCATGCAGGTGATGTCTCCCCCTGGGCAGCCGACTGCAGTCGATACGCTCTGCCAGCCTGTTTGTAATGGTAAGCTAGCTGAAGTGATAAGAAAGATTGGCGTCCTGACCTCTGCTTGGTGGTGACCGGCTCCAGGCACATGTCCAGGGGACATGATGTATGCCCCCTTAAAGAGCTGGGGCGCACGGCCACTGAATCGCTGTGGCGTCTGTCAGCGACCATGGAAACCCCCCTGCGGGAAGCTACTTACCGTCAACTGGAACATCACCTGGATGTAGGGTTACAGTAAGGGCCAGGGATAAGGTGGTGGGCTTGGATCCACACCCTTGGGGTTCAGCCGTTACAGGATAGCTATAGCTAATATTTTCATGAATGCCAAGTCAGTTGACGCACAGATAGACTAGGACCACTCTGCAGCGTCGGTCATCCGACACGGAGAGAAAATTGCAGGCGCCATAGACCGGGAAAGATATATTCCGTCTACCTGACCAGACGGAGCGATATGTCCTATCAGATAAGTTCATAAAAGCGGAATTTGCTGAACCTGCTTTAGCGGTTCGACACCTTGTAATCCACATCTATCCTTTATTTGAATCAGGCCACAATAGATTGTGGATGGTGATGTCTATTGGACAGTGAATGGTGGAGTCCGGGGATCGGGATAGTAAATCTTCGCTTGGCACCGACCCCGGCGCGTAAGCTGCCATTGCATCTGGCTCAACTTGAGTCTAAAAGACTAGGTCTCAATATTCGCTTGGCTTGCACGCGTGGTACTACTTTTAAGCTGTTTACTTAGGGACTCATGCCCCGCCATGTTACTATTGCGTAGACTAACAACAGGTAAAGTCGAACGGTGGCGTGGATCTATTGGAAACACACCATAAACCCATTAGAAATGCCACAACACAAAAACTATTATACGAGAAGCTCATGCGACATGACCGTTACTGTAGGTGCATCCCCAGGCAGAGTAGCAGAACACACTGCGCATCAGGCAATTGACCATTCTATTCGCTATGCTCTGCAGTGTAGGGAATTTGAACTTAGTCTGGGCGGATTAATATCGGCGGAATAGCTGGCCGCTCAGCGAAGGGTCATGGCTGCTATTGTCGTTGGAGGAATTACCTGCAAGGATGCCGGATAAAGGATTCAGTATGGATTAGGTAGCATAAAGAGACCAGGGCCTGATGCATATCATTCCCAGATTCGGCCATCTAAAATGCGGATAGGTGAGTGGAGATGCGTTTGAATGGTTGTGTAGTCGAGACTAACTCTAACTCACGGGTAATCGGACCTCTCGGTTAAGAGGGCAGACTTATGCCAAGTCTGAGTATCTGAGCTTTACATTGTTTAAAGTAGTGATTACGAGGTCCTTCGTAGGACCCTCACTTCCCCCGCAGAGTGGGGAACGGACCCTGCAGCATTGACCTCAGACGCCGCGTGAGACGTGAGGCCTCTTCGTGCTCGCATACATAAATAGTTCTCTCCGCATTGCACTAACCTAACGCAAAGAAACCTACATTACAGTGAAATCTCTCCGTTTGGTGACAATTAGAAAATGGTGACCTTTTTCGCTTGGTTGGTCTGGGCAGGGCTCACTGCTCTCGCTCTTGGAGAGTTGTTACCCCCATACTATGCAGACTTATCGTGGCAACCAGCGAGATCGCTATCCAACTGGTGAAATTTGACAGTGGAGACACGAACGGGAACCTTTATTGGCATGTTGAATGATACATACCCGGATGTCCGCCAATTTCTTCGGGTTCCCTATGCACAGGTACACACCGAGCTAGCTATCAAGGATCGGAGAGGTTCGAGGCTAATAATAATCACTTTATATAACTAGCCGCCAGTCGGGGATCTCAGATGGCTTCCGCCTCAAAAGTTGGCCAACTCGTCGAAGAGAATCGACTCGACTCGCTTTGGACCTGGTGAGTGACTTGTGCTGTGAGGGTGACCGAGGCGAGCAGCCTTCTGATGACCTCGTATCTAGCCTGTCCGCAGTATGTTGCTTCCGGAAGCAGCATGTGGGCAGAGTACGCGCCTACAAGCCTTCTGCTGAGTATTGGGGAGGCACCCAATCAGGGATCGACTGCTTGGTCCTCCTCAGAGGACTGTCTGTCACTAGCTGTGTGGACCCCAGCATTTGCCAACAAGACATTAAATCTGCCTGTAGCTCTTTTTGTCACAGGTGGTGGCGGTGTCACTGGCGGAACTGAGGTTCCATCCCAGCTACCATCGAACTGGGTATCGAACTCCAAGGAACATATTGTCGTAACGATCAATTATCGGGTCAACATCTTCGGCAGTAAGATCATGTTGAACCACCCTCGCGCGAATGACTCGGGCTAATTGATTAACTTCACTCGATGTAGATCCTAAATCGAAAGCTCTGACAGAGACATCTCTGACTTTGTTGGATGTGCGGGCCGCAGTAGAATGGGTAGCCGAGAACATTCGGGCATTTGGTGGAGACCCAGACAATATCATGGTAAGAGATTCCAGTCCACGAAGATCATATTATCCTAATCATGTTTTTAAAACCAGCTATGGGGACAATCCCAGGGAGCGGCACTCACTCACCTGTATACACTTGCCTTTCCAGATGACCCTCGTGTGGCAAAATTTGGTGTCATTTCCCAGCCTCCGTCGGTGTTAACAGCATAGTCTCGCGTGGACGAGGCGATTATACTATTCTGTTGGTGGGCTGCTATCGTCGGTGGGGCTTCTGTGAGACTTCAGACCTTGATTGAGCCTAACTCGTGGTTAGCTTGAGACTATGTGAATGATTAGAGACTTTAGTGAAATGGCAGATATGCCTAGAAAGAGACTAGGCCATAGTGATGCAATCTACTAGGGCAGCCTAAGAGCTAAGGGGGCTTGGGTGTAGCAGACCTACTCTATTTAGAGTGATACTATATAAGTAGATTCATCCGCTCAAAGCCTCCTCTAGGAGAAGAGCCGTATTTTGATGTCCATTCTTTAATGCCCAGAATAGCGGTGTCCTCCTGTTCCGGTCTTTGGAATTAACATCCACCGCCCCAGTCTCTAACAAAGCTCTCACCCCAGCTTCAAGTCCATTCCCTGCCGCCAAAGACAGTACAGTCCGGCCCTCTTCGTTATCTCTTGCTTCCAAGTCTGCATGTCCCGTAGCAATCAACACCTTCATGATTTCTTGATGTTTGTCAAATGCAGCCCAGGAAAGCGGCGTTCGTCCGTGGTATTTCTCTATGGTGTTGACATCCACCTTGCCGGTTTCAAGCAGCGATTTGACAATCTCAAGGTGGCCCATTCCACACACCCACGAAAGGGCTGTGCGGTCTGATGTTTCATCGCGGATGTTTAGGTCAGCTTGGCCAGTGGCTAGAAGCAGCTTCACTACCGGTTTCATTCGCTCGAGAGAATTAAAGAGCGCCCAGGTCAGTGGCGGCCGGTTTTGGTAATCGACAGAGTTGATGTCGACTTTGTTGGTTGCTAGAAGGAGCTGAACAATTTCTGCATGCCCAGCCCCCGCAGCCCATGATAGAGGAGTTCGACCATAATGTGAGTCTCTTGCATCAACGTCCACTTTACCAGTAGCAAGCAAAAGTTTCACGACTGGCACAAACCCAGCCTCTGCAGCCCACGATAATGGTGTCCGGCCATCTTTTGGGCTGTCCAGAGCCAGGTTAGCCAGCATATCCTGCCCAATACCAATTGCACTTCTCGGCCCTTCATCTATTGGCTGGACATGGACAATGTTCTCAGCTGAACCAACTATACTTATTGCAGCCTCCAAATTGCGCGACGTGACAAGCAAAGATCCATGTTTTGCTTCTCGGAACGATGAAAAAATCGGAATCGTCTCCGTCACGTCATCCTCCAGCAGAACAGGAAGCCCCGTCTCTTGGGAAACACCCACGTTAATGACATTGTCCAGAATAACCAGCCATGGCCCATTTTCTTCGTCAGCTAGCTATTCCAATACCAGTTCCACGATATCGACGGCTGGTTCATCTTTTCCGGGTAGATCAAGACTGTTAGCTATATCTTGATAAGACCTTCTGTATCGGGAGATGCTGCTTGCGTTGACCCAGAATACGGATAGCCAGGGCACATGTTGGGGGCTTCGGTAAGCGTATTCAAGGGCAATTTGTGATTTACTGACTTTGTTAGTGACATCTATCATATTTAGTATCACAATAATTTTCTCACCCTGTGTCCTTATCTCCAACGAGAGCTATGCTGAGAAAACGTTCAAAAGCAGCTGCATCGTATCGTCTACCAAGCTCACTCATTATAGAATCACGACCAGTGAAGTTTCCATCTCTCTGAAATGGAACCAAGAAGAGTTCTCTGGGAGCTACAACAATCAGAAAACAGAACATATACTTCAAAACGAACAAAGATTGACCACGAACCATTTCTCCTCATAGGTCTCGTTCTCTCCACATGCCCTGGTGGTATGACTGACAACAACTCCTTCGCATAAGCAGCCGCCACCCCGGCAGCATAAGGCTGCCATTTCTTGTTCTTATGCGAGTCGGCATAATCACAAATGCCTCGGATCACCAGGCATGGGAAATTATTCACCAGCCCGGCAGCCTCCATCTCGAAGCACAACACCCCGCCTAACTCTGCTGCGAGTCGGTCTCGTTGATGCGCGTCCTTGAGTACTTGATTCCCGGACGCAATCGTTCCATAATGCACTTTGATATCATGGCCTTCACGTTCGTCGCGTTGAATCGATTGTTCCTTATCGCATGCCTCACACGTCATTCCCCCAGCATGGTTATAACCCGCCTCGAACAGGACATCCCTGTTTTTATCTCTATCGTGCGTGAAAGCAGGCATATCCTTAAGCCCTTCCATATACTCGGTCATCGTTCCCCTCCCCAGAAAATGCCTGGCCCGTAGCAGGGCCACCGCATTCAACAAAATAACCGGGGGCGCATTCAAAAAGCCTGTGCGTACAAACCCATTAGACGTGCTCTTCCCAAAGTCATACTGCACCACGCCCCCAGTTTGATTATCTGGTCGACCAACAACCACATCTCCCAGCCGAATATCGTGCTCAGGACTGGGAACAACCCCTCCGATTCCCACCATGAGGCCGAACCTGATGGATGGAAACGCCGAGCGCATTTGGATTGCCACGGTCGCGGCGGAGCTGGTGCCTATCTGCCCATCTGGGAGACAGGTAATCACAACGTTGTGCCCAGCAATACTTCCCATAATGAATATGCTGGGATCGTTAATCTGCAGGCGTATGCTGGAGTGTTCGGTGTCTAGCATTGCTTGTGCGGCTGCTAGTTCGATTGGCAGAGCGCAGACCCAGCCTACGGTGTAGTCTTCGCGACGAGGTTGGCGTTCCCTCATTGTCGTGTTCCTGTTGCCTCTTCTCTCAATGATGGGGAAGGTTGTTGTTGGGGAGTTTTGCGCGATCTTACACATGTCTGACAGCCTTGTCATATGCCGGATTTGGTAACTAGCTACTCATCACTTCGTACTAGTAGTTGAGTAGCTCAGCCTCGCGGGGCTCGGCTGGGGCTGGTCCAATCATATTCCACTTCTGTTGATTAGGTATTTTGACATTCACATACTTCCCATAGCAGTAGCACATTGCCTTGTACTTATACTTCTACTATTTATTGTTTGATGGTAACTGTCAAGCTATGTACGATGCATAATCGAGCACTTTAGAATGATAATGCTTTTTTTTTTCTTATCTCTCTAATGCTCCAGTAAGCTCAATCTTGCAATAGAGCAGCACTCATACAACAACTCATAAACAGATCTAGACATAGGAAGATGTAAAGTAAGCAGATATTTTTCAATAGTTTTTCTGCTCTTGATCTGCTATGATTATCCGTGTATTTTGACCTTAAGAACTGATGTGTAGCCATTCTACGTTAGACTTATACCTGCAGTTCCACCGGCCTAAGCATTCTGTTAGAGATAGGCAGATAACTGAGTTGATCTTAGGCTCCTACAAAGCGGCTCATAATACCTCCGCTCGCCTTGGCTAGAGGCCAACTCCGAGCCTGCCTACTCGGGCCCACAAACCTTCATGTCATTAAGTAGGCTAGTTGACTTGAATTTTCCCGCCCGTCCTCCAATCCTCGAGCTTCTACCGAGTCGTTAAACGACTCGTTGACGGCTAAATATATAGATATCCCCGCAGAGATGTAAACTCAGAGTGAAAGTCAAAAGGTTGTAGCTCAGGGTTCTAGAAATTGCTTTCTGCTGAATACAATCTACTTCAGAACAATGACAGGCTGCTCTCGGTCATGGTAAGCAACATCCCTGTGTTGGATCACCTTGAAGATACCTGAGGCATTTTGGACCCTGCGCAAGAAGCCCGCTGACTAAGATTTTGATGTTGCAAATAGTTAACTGACTATTGAATTAGGTTGTGGCCTTACGGAATACCCCAAGTAGAATGATCAGGAAATAGTATGGATCTCTCAAAAAGCTGCTAGAGACATTATTCAGTGCGAACCATCCAAAACCTCATATAAAAATCCCGAATAATGAGCCAGGGATGGTCATGAGGCTCATTGGCCATGAGCAGTGGAACGGGCCCTAACCGCCCCAGACTTTAACTGACGCTAACAAGCCAACCGAAATGAACCATAAGCAAACAGCAAATCATTATCACACCCAGCTGTTTTAGCGTCTTTGGACCCTGAAACTTGTCCTATCGAAGGCCTTTGGTGCAGTTCGAGCATTTTTCCGCCCCTGAGGCTATTGTGCACCCTCCACTTCGTGTCAAGTCTAAGCCTCGTTGGGGGCATCCACCCCTCCTGAAAGGAGACTGTGGTGAACTAAACTCCATTTCGAACCACATGGTCAAACTCTCATGTCCACTAACAACCCACCCAAATCTGAGATTCTTATGCTGGTTCTTATTGAAATATAAGCCGCCCAGGGATTCCCAAGATTTCCCGCTGATCATCAACCACACTCGTTTACACAACCACCATGGTATTCGCTCATTACATAGCAGCGGCATTCACCGTCGCCGCGTTGGCCGGTACCCCCGCTGCAATCGATCTCGACATTACCGACGAACGTACGTTTCCTTCTCCCACCACTCATGCAAGCGAACCCCTCTGACGCCCCGCAGAATCCGTCAAAGATGCTGCCGCCACAGCCGCCTTTAACGCCATGTCCTACTACACGGGCAACCAGACCGGCCAAATCCCCGGGTACATCAACCACACCTGGTGGGAAGGTGGCGTACTCTTCGACACCATGATCCGGTACTGGTATTTCACCAACGACGCCTCTAACAACGCCGCCGTCAGCCAGGGCATGTATCACCAACGTGGCGCCGGGAACGACTATATGCCCAGCAACTGGTCTTCATACATGGGTAACGACGACCAGGTAGCCTGGGGCCTCGCCGCCATGACAGCGGCAGAGCTAAACTACCCGGAGGACGCTGGAATGCCGTCGTGGGTGGATCTAGCGGAGCGGGTATTCGATGTGCAATCCGCCCGTTGGGACAACAGCAGCTGCGAAGGTGGTCTCCGCTGGCAGATTTGGCCTTACCAAGTCGGATACACAATGAAGAATTCTATGAGCAATGGGGGTTTGTTCCAACTCGCGGCGCGGTTGGCTCGGTATACAAATAACCAGACCTATGTCGACTGGGCAAATACAATCTGGGACTGGAGTTCCCGAATTCTAGTCGATCAGGAAACTTGGAATGTCGCTGATAGTACTAATGCGGAAAATGATTGTACGAACCTCGGTAACAATCAGTGGTCGTATAACTACGCGGTGTATCTGAGTGGCGCGGCATATATGTACAACTACGTAAGTGGTTATGCACGCTCTGGTATAGGACAGAGGTTTAACAATGGATAGACAAACGGAGAGACCACGCAGTGGAAGACGGCCCTGGATGGGTTGTTGAACGGTACCTTACAAACATTCTTCCCCTCTAAATTCGGCGGTGAGATCATGTCTGAGGTGCTTTGTGAACCCGCGAACGTCTGTAACGACAACGAGATAACTTTCAAGGGTCTTCTGGCGGAGAGTCTCACCATAACGAGCATGCTTGCGCCATATACATCATCCGACATTCTGCCGCGCCTACAAGGCTCGGCTGTTGGCGCTGCGAAGCAATGCAGTGGCGGAAGTAGTAACACAACTTGTGGACAGCACTGGTACAAATCGAGCTGGGATGGCACGGAGGGCATTGAGGAGGAAATGAGCGCAACGAGCATCTTCACGTCCAACCTGGTGGCGTATAAGCACCTGTCTCCGGCTACGAAGACTACGGCAACAAATGTGACCTCCTCAGCGGGTACGGATACTGGAAATGGAACGACTACTGCCAGCACGACAGCGGGAAGCAACAGTGTTGTCCCGACAAACGGTGCCAATTCTCTGCCTTGCAGACACTTTAGTGCTGCTGTTGCTATTGTTGCGGGCGCTTTTGCCATTGCTTAAGTGGTTAAGTCTAGCTTACATAGCTAGACTCGATTACTCGAGAATGCAGCGCAGTCAGAGCACTTTTACTGGACTTGATGGATTGCATGGGTGGAACCCTTCCATTTCTCCTTTATATTATTGTAATAATACATCTATTGTCGCTTCTTGGCCAGTCCACTGAAGCCGAGTAACGATTATTCTCGCAAAGCGGAACAGAACTTCGGTCATGATTGTTCGTCCAGCTTTACAGTCCCGATCGAAGGATCTAGCGTCCGTAGGAGGGTCCCCGCAAAAGCGAAATCTAGGCAGCATTCTAGGCAACATACCCCTATTAACTGATACCCTTGGCTTGTCAATTGACCTTGTTTATTTCTTTCTCGCCCCCCATACCCAATGAAACAGCTAAGAAGCACACTAGGATAAGTCTAATTCGACCGGCGAATGAGACTCCAACCTCTCTACCCAACACGAGCTCGATCCACTCTCGGTCTTTGCAATAATCGCAAAACCCGCTTTAAGAAGCTTCTCACCCACCCATCATCGTCACTATCTCAGCGAACCAACCCGCGGACACAACTAAACAGGGACACAATGAGAATCAGCCAGAAACAACCAGAAATAACCCTATACCGCGGCTTCCCCGGCACGGGGATCTACACATGGTCACCCTTTGTGACGAAACTTGAAGTCCGGCTCCGGTTTAGTGGAATATCTTATCGCACTGAAAGTGGGTCTGTTCGCGCGGCGCCACGGGGAAAAGTGCCTTATGTTACTATTTGCGATGAAGACAAATCTGGGCCGGATCAGGCTCGGACAATGTCTGATTCGGATCTCATCATACAGGATCTCGTTAATAACAATATCCTCCCAGACCTGAATGGCGGCTTGAGCGTTCAGGACAAGGTTCTTGACTCGGGCATTAAAGCGTTGTTGGAAGACAAACTGTACTTTTTGCAGGTATTAATACCGTCCACCCCGTCTGTACATCGCGTTTGATTGACGAGAAATAGGGTTACGAAAAATGGATTGACAATTACTATTCCATGCGAGAACATATCCTAGCCTCACTGCCGTATCCTGTCCGGATAATCGTGGGACATCTCATCTACCGGAAACAGTACCAGACGTTGCATGGGCAAGGAACATTACGCTATTCGGCAGAAGAACGGAGCGCATTCAAGAAACAGATATGGGAGGATATTAACGCCTTATTAGAGGACTCCAGGTTGCAAAGTGATCGCGAGGGACCATATTGGGTGCTTGGGGGTCAGCATCCGACTGAGGCTGATGCTACACTGTTTGGGTTCGTTGTTGGGGCTTTGATCTGTACCGCGTAAGATTCCTGTTTGGGGGAGTAGTACTTCTTGGGTACTAATTATATGCAGGTGTCCTGAAACGCAGGCGATCGTGAGAGGATTACCAGCTCTGGTAGATTATGCGCAGAGGATTCATGATCGGTACTTTCCGGATTATGAGCTTTGGGCGGAGAAATAGTAGTTTCAACCTTGTTCTTAATTGGCTTCCTTAATTGGATGTTGTGTCAACACATGCCATATGTTACTGATTGCCTTGGGGACAAGTGGGTTGGTCAGACATAACAGGAAAACATGTGTGTGATCTAGATCATTCCGGAAACACCGATACGGTGAAAATAACCCGCGGAGTGCATTAGGTAGATAACCTGCTAGACGCCATGAACAGTAAGGTGCCACGAAAAGTCTGCCAGCTTATAACTTATCTTAAGATGATAATACTCCATAAGGATCACTACATCATCAACACCTACCACTTTCTAGAGCCTTCCACAAGACATAGACCCAGAGCCAAGAGCCTCTAGATAAGCTCTAGATAAGCATTGCCTTGAAACAAGGCCATGCAGATCCAACCATCTTATCAACCAGACGCCGGAAGGGACCACTCCGCGGACCCGCCTCGGGCCGACGTCATCCTGAAGTCAACCCGATTCATCGCCGAGCTCTGAAGATGCCGGTCCTACTGTTCTCGGAAAATTGTGTACCGGTCTAGAAATAGAATAATCCAGAAAACTTGGCTATGACTGGTTGGGAGCAAACCCGCGGCTGATTAACTAGCCTGGTTGTCAGATGTGGGTATGCTTCATGAGGGCTAAGTGTGGACCGAAGGTATACGTAAGAGGAGGTGATTGTGTTACTTATCTGTCCTATATAAAACCTATCGAGAAGGCTCATGATTTTCACTTGAACACCATTTTCTTGTTCAACGTTAGTTAGAAGATCATATTGCTAGTCGTCGAAATGAAGGAACCACAGGGCGCTCCCGCATCGGGCATCCACTTCCCGCAGGGTATACGACCCTCCTCACCACATGTTCTGCAGAGCCCTGGACTGACACTGCAGCGTAGGAGTATCGGTAAAAGTGACAGAAGAGGTTCAAAAGATCGCGGATATGTTCCGTGTGGATGGAGACACGCTTCGACGTATCACCGACCATTTTGTCGAGGAGATGGAGAAGGGTTTGTATACAGCCCTCACCACACATTGTAGTAGAGGCTCTGACATTTTCTCTGTTTAGGACTGGGAAACTCCGATAGCGATATTGTACGCTTTGTTCACTCACCTCGGTATTCTGATAAACTGACACATGCCAGCCAATGAATGTGACCTGGGTTACCAAGTCCCCGACCGGCCACGAAACAGGCCAATACCTGACCGTGGATATGGGCGGAACCAATCTCCGCGTATGCAACGTCACTCTGACAGAAGAGAAAGGAGGATACAAGATTGCACAAAGCAAATTCAAGTTACCGGGTGGCTTGAAAACAGGTAATGCGCAGGAGCTATGGGCATACATTGCGGACCGTGTGGCAGACTTTCTGCGCGAGCGTGAATTGACTCCCCGCCCGGGCGAGAAACTACCACTTGCGTTTACTTTCTCGTACCCGGTGACGCAGGATAACATCCGACATGGAGTGTTGCAGCGTTGGACAAAGGGATGGGATGTATCTGGGGTAGAGGGTGAGGATGTTGTTGCACAGTTGGAAGAGGCGTTTGAGGAGAGGGTAAGCTCTTCTATACCATCTAGCTAATACGGCACTGACTCGTTCATGGACAGAACGTCCCTGTGCACATCGTGGCATTAGTGAATGACACAACAGGAACGCTCATCGCATCGGCATACAAAGACCCCGAGATCAAGATCGGTAGCATCTTCGGCACTGGGTGCAACTCAGCATACATGGAAAAGATCGGGCGCGTGCCGAAGATTGCAGAGCACCATCTCCCCGCCGACCATTACGTCGCAATCAATACCGAGTATGGCGCCTTTGATAACAGCCATCGGGTTCTTCCGCGATGCCAATTCGACCTCGAGATTGACCGTGCTTCTCCGCGACCGGGTCAACAGACATACGAAAAGATGGTGGCTGGGCTGTACGTGGGAGAGATAGTGAGGCTTATTATTGTTCATTTACATGAGAAAGCTGGCTACCTGGAGAACATGGACCTCGGTCGTCTGCGACATAGTCACGCTATGGAATCGTCGTGTGTGTCGAGGATGGAAGAGGACGGGTCAGCGGAGGATAGCGCGATGGCGGAGACACGAAAATTCCTCAAAGAGGAATTTGGCATTGAGCCAACATGCGAAGAACTCCGTGTCTGTTGTCGTCTCGGGGAAATTGTTTGTACGCGTGCGGCCAGGTTGTATGCGTGCGGCATTGCGGCTATCTGTAAGAAGGAGGGCATTCGCCAAGGCCGTGTTGGTGTGGATGGGTCTACTTTTGAGAAGCTTTTCCGGTTCAAGGAGCGGGCAGCGGCTGCTTTACGAGAAATTCTCGAGTGGCCTGATAGTTCAGAGGACTTGATTACCTTTGTGCCTGCAGAGGATGGGTCGGGAATTGGTGCAGCTTTGATTGCGGCGTTGTCTGGGAGAGACTGAACTGCAGGAGGGGTTGACATGGTCTCACGAATAACGATATACGAAGCACTTCCATTCATCTAAAGACTGTTTATTCTTAGTCCTTTATTGTAATATTAAAGACATTGGTACCTCGATTCATATAGCTATGTGAAGAACTGGTCATTGACAGGAAGATATCTGAAACGCGTCACCCATGACCTTTTTCTTCCTCAGTGGAGTGAAGCACCTTGTACCCCACTGCAACACTTGACATTGGGTCCCTACCCGCATATCGTACCTTTTTATCCGTGTGGTTTGCCGTCTTAGCCAAAATAGCTTCAAACCTCGGCATAACGTAGCCCCAAGCGCCACCCTTAAGTGTTTCCTCCTGGCACCAAACAACATCTGTTGCGTTTGGGTAATTATCCAGATTCTGTCTAACTTCCTCCCACGGAAACGGGTGGAGTTCTTCAATCCGCGTGATAGCTGTGTCTTTGAGGTTATAAGTTTCGCGATACTTGTAGAGCGCCGCATACACTTGGCCAGAACAGAAGATGACACGCTTGACGTCTTCCGCCTCATTGATAGTAATACCGTGCCGAGTTTCGGGGAGCAATGGTTGGAAGTAGAGAGTCTCTATGAACTCTGCAATATCCGAACGTGCAAGGGGGTGGCGAAGTAGGGATTTGGAGAAGAGTATGATGAGAGCTAGATTTGTTAGCAGGGGTATGAGATATCGGAAAAGGAGACATACGTTTTCTAAAGTCCCGGTGGATTTGCCGGCGCAGAACGTGGAAGTAGCTTGCGGGACTTGTCATGCACACAATCTGTATGTTAGCATCCTGATGCTGGCGCTGGAGTTGCTCTGGTGTTGGAAAATGCCTCGAATCTTCGTCGCCCAGTTGCAGAAATCGCTCCAAGCGGGCTGAAGTATGTTCCGGTCCTTGGCCGTCGTAGCCATGAGGCAACGAAAGAACCACACCAGAGCGCTGAAGCCACTTCTTCTCAGAAGATGCGATATAGTTATCGATGATGACTTGAGCGTTGTTTGCGAAGTCGCCGAACTGGGCTTCCCACATCACGAGAGCATTTGGATCTGCCAAAGAGTAGCCAAATTCGAAACCCATTGCTGCAGTCTCACTCAAGGACGAACTGGTTATGGTGAATAAGCCCTGGCCTGGGCTGATGGTGCTTAAAGGTGTGTATGTTTTGTTGGTTCGTTGGTCGTGGAGAACGGCATGACGCTGGGAAAAGGTGCCTCGTTCGACATCCTGTCCGGCTACTCGAACCCCTGTACCCTCACGGAGAAGCGTTCCCAATGCCAGAGCTTCGGCAGTAGCCCAGTCAATATCTTTGCCGGTCGTCAATGTTTGTTGCCGGCGAGAATGAATCCGTTCTAGGTTCATGTGTAGCTCGAAGCCTTGTGCGATCTCCGCTCCAAGGTGCTTAGACACGGCCTCGATGGATTCATAGTTGACTGCGGTCACCTTCGGTGGTAGTGTTTCCATATTTGACTCTGCTGGCGTCTTCATACCCTTCCACGAATCGATTAGCCACTCTTTCGGATCAGGCTTCTGGGTTTTGGTATCGTGGAAGTTGCAGATACTAGTTCTGGCGGAGGGATGAAAGCCTGCTCAATTGCGACATGTCCGTTCTCAACATTGTGGAAATATGCTTGCCAGGACACATGTACGGAGGTCGGGTCAGCTTTCCATGATGTGTACATTGTGTCGATGTAGGTCGAGGGGGTGCTTTGGAGGAAGCTGTCATTGTTGTGCTCGCTCTTCTCAGTGTTAGGTTCTTTTGTTCACGAAATATATTGGTAGAAGTGGCGTACCAGTTTGGCTACTGAGCCCTGTGTCGTTGCTTCAGTGGCATATGGCCGTAGGTGGAGACGAAGACGGGAAGAGTGGTGGACTTGCCGTTGGGTAAGTATTCGGCTTCGTGGGGTGAACATATTGTCTCTTTTGTACTTGTGATGAGTAAATATCTTGTTGAGTGTCCGGATAAAGAGTATAGCTCGCTGTTGTTAGTGTTCAAGTTACTTTTATATGTATTTGCTGGACCGTTGCAGCACGAGATCGGAGTGTTGAGAACCCACCAGTGCAGATAAGTTGCAGCTTGAACTAAATACAATAGGAGAACCCCGCATCTTAAGTAGTAGAGCTCGGTAGCCTATCGGTAGTATATCCTCTGCAGATTGATGCATGCATATCGGTATGAAGGCTTCTCGCCGACGGATGTTCGATGCGGTCGGCAACTTAATGGTATGCTGTTCCTCGGCACATCCGATCCTATGCCCGAAAGTATGTTGATGTCACATAATGCAGGCCACAACCAGCATATCCAAGTTGCTTGATTTAAATCACATTGGAAGCAGAAGATAAGGCTTCACAGATAGGTACAGGATGTTCTTATTTCACAAGCAAAGGTAAAATAGGACTAGCAGAGAACAATCGTCTACACAATCTACTCAATCAGCATGCTCGCTGGATCCTCGAGATACTTCTTCACCAAGGTCAGAAAAGTAACCGCTTCACGACCATCCACCAGCCGATGATCGTATGTCAAAGCAGTATACATCATCTGAAAAAGTAAATTAGCAATGCCAGAGTAATATGCATCATAAATTGAGCTTACCGGCCGGATTTCGACCTGTTCTTTGATAGCAACTGGCCTTTGCTGAATTCCATAGATACCCAGCACCACCGTTTGCGGCACATTGATGATTGGCGTACCAAACAAGGATCCCCAAATGCCACTGTTACTGATGGTAAATGAACCTCCGGACAAGTCATCCATAGTCAATTTGCCATCGCGTGCCTGTACCAGTTAGACTGCAATACTCAATGACAACGCCGATCCTAAACATACCTTCTTTCCCAGCTCAGCGATTCCCTTCTCAATTCCCATCACACTCAAGCTCTCCATATTCCTCAACACCGGCGTTACCAATCCCTTCGGTGTCGCAACAGCCACGCTGAGATCGATATAATCTCTGAACACGATGGTATCATCATTCTCGATAGAAGCATTAATGACCGGGATCTCCTTCAACGCGAGCGCAGATGCACGGGCAACTGGACCCATGAATCCAAGCTTAACACCATGTTTCTGGAGTACATTGTCTTTGTTCTGTGCCCGGAACTCCATCACCTTGGACATGTCGACCTCATTGAAGGTAGTAAGAAAAGCGGCGGTGTTTTGGGATTGCTTGAGACGCTCTGCGGTGCGGAGGCGCATGCGGGTCATTTTCTCCTGCATCAAATTTTAGTATCTCATCTATGGAGGCGAAGTTGGCAAAGTTCATATACCCTTCTCTCTGCGCGACTACCCTTGTAAGCTGACACGGGTCCTTGAGCGCTGGCGACGGGTGCAGCAGGTTTCGATGGTGCAGGGGGCGCAGTAGATTCCTTCTTAGGTTCGGGTTTTGTCTCTGGCTGAGACGTAGGGGACGATGCGGGCTGATCTTCTTGTGATTCCTTAGCAGCCTCTGTAGCAGGTTGAACTTCTGCAGATTGCGACCCATCGCGCTTCTCCGGAGATAGTTCAATAACTGCCTGTCCGACCGTCACCGTATCGCCCTCGTTCACCAGTAGTTTCGCAATTGTACCACTCTCAGACGCATTGATAGCGACGTCGATTTTGTCCGTCTCGATCGAAGCGATTTCCTCATCTTGCTCTACGTAATCTCCAACCTGCTTGTGGAATGTAGAAAGGACACCCTCCGAGATAGATTCCGCCATGGCAGGGACGTTAATGACTCGTGTTTCTGCGGTACGAAGGGCGGATATGCTGAAGGTGCGCTGTTGCTGCGACGACTGAATGGGTATCCATGACTTCTGTGATGCGACGGTTGTGCGCAATGTAAGTCGAAGCGCGTTGTATGTATGAATGGAGTGAACTGTAGGTGTGGTGCTGATAGCGCGTGGAATGCGGGCAATGGGGCCCCGGAGTCGGGGTGTTGTTCGCGATAACATTGTGGGTGATTGACGATGCGACAAAATGAGAAAGTCTAGAACGCTGAGTGGAGGAGCCTAGGAGATTTACATCGGAGATGTCCCTCGGCTTGTGGTTGTCATGCCGCGTGGTCGGCCGGGAATACCCTCGGTTGCCGACCCGGCGGGAATTCGGCTACTTTGCGCGGCTACATGATTATTCTCTAGGACTGTAGAACATGAAACCAATTAGGGTTGCTTCTTATCTACCTCAGTTTTGAGCTTCTAGAATTAAAGGAACTTCAGTGATGAACTGTGTAATAGTCTACTTTAACACTGACTCTCGCGCATACCCTCAAACACAAAAAGGGATAGCTTTTATGGCAACAATTGAGCTCAGTCACAATTACCGAGCATATATTTCTCGCTATACACTGGTGTATCGTTCACTTCAAAGTACTCATTGCGTCTTGACTACCTCTCATACGAATTGTTCTTGGCTATATGTTAAATGAAGTTGGTCTTGTATGAGGATCAATTGACAGGGTGCATTTTACTAAACCCAGTGGGAGGACGGTTCCAGGGTTTGCAGTTGCACGTCAGTACTTTTGCCATCATAATAAATCACATTACAATTGTAGACACTGGTTGTTCTAGAATTTACATCTGTGATGAATTTCATTAACTTCCAAGTACAGCCTGGTGGAAATCAAGGGCGCTACGTAAGGCAGTCTTCATATGTGAAACGGATGTAACATAGAAATTAGAAGAAATACAGATGTACCCAAAGATCACGGCACATTTTCGAATAAGTGATTAAATCTATATGCTAACGAATTTTTACATTGAAGCTACGTTATCTCATAGTGATTAGGCTGTAAACATTATTGATATTAATTGAGTAGGTAGGTAATCGTACAGCTATCCTGTCTAGAGAAATGTAGCTAGGTATAATGTAAAATTTGAATCGTCAATCAATCAAAAGCCGACAGTCTTCTGTCACATCATAAGTCAACAGAGGTCGAGACCCACAATTTATTCCAAGCGGCGTAGGAGGGCTATCTCTGTCCTGATACCGGTTCCAAAACTACATGCAACGACATTCGGTGTTTGCAACTTCTTTTCCCGCACTTTTTCCAACACCGCTAAAATCGAAACACTCGAGGAGTTCCCCCTTGTTTTGTAGATCTCATAACTGGCTGACAATGAGTCTTCAGGCAAGTTGAAAGCGGCCTGGACACCCTCGATGATAGCTCGGCCTCCTGGATGAAGAGCCCAATAGAAGTCCGTTGGAGACGCGGAGGACATCCCGTTAGTTTGCAACAGGCACTGGAGGGGAGCTTTCATGGATCCGATTGCCAGTTCAGGAATCTTCTTCGAAAATGTGGCTAGAAAGCCATATGTAGAGACTTTCACCGACATATCTCCTTGTGTTCCGGAGGTGGTGACGCTTTTATCATCAACGATTGCGAATTGCTTAGGCGTCTTATCGCTCATTCCAAGAGAGTTGCAAACGACAAGTGCTGCTGCACCGTCACTGAAAATGACTGGGCCGATTCTAGTGATGGGAGACTGTGAAGCAGCGTGCAGCTCTGATCTGATCTGAATGCTGCAGAGCTCACATGCGACGATGAGGATCCGTGCTTCTTTTTTCCGGTGTGTGGCTGCATCTGCTAGTGCAGAAGCAAGTCGGAAGGATGCACACCCGCCTGCACAGCCAACTCCGCTGAGCAGGACTCGTTCTGTCGTATCAGGGAGACCCAGGTCACGAGCGACAAGTTGATCGTATCCTGGAGCTCCGGCATTTGTTGCAGTCACGGACACCATATGCGTGATTGAGGATGGGTCGATGTTACTTTCCCGGAGGGCTTTTAGGGCAGCCTTTTTAGCGAGTTCGACACCATATTCCCGAAATGCGGTGTCCACCTCCTCAGCGGTGGGTGGTTGGTCCCCAAGCCAGCGAGGATCATCCCATAAATCGATGACAGCTCGTGTCTCGATACCTGTCTTGGCATTGAGCATGAGCAACTTCTGGAGCCTGCCTTGATTAGAGAATGCTCGTAAAGGAAATTGGAGAGCACGCCTACCATGGAGGATTTTCGGGATAAAATTTCAAGGCATACTTGTTCAATTCTTCGGGGCCTATTAGTCGAGACGGCCACTCGGTAGCAATCCCCGTGATTATTGCCTCATCCCCTCTCAGTGGTATCTCTGGCTGTGAGCTTTGCTCAGGAGAAGGAGAAGATGAAAGCGAATTGCCCATGATGCCTTCAGGAAGCCGAAAAAAATGTATGAGTAGAAGAATATAGAGGGTTCAACTATCTTTCATATGCCCTCGGTGCCTGTGAAGGTTTAATCTCTTGGTCCTCATGATGGTATTCACAAAGCTTTATATATTAACAGACAAACCGGTAGCGTAAGCTTGGGGGGCGAGGGTTGGGCTATGGATGGACGATAGGCTCAGGGACTGCATCGGTCCAACTAGACCCCAAGCAAGTAATAGTTCAACTTTGTCCACAATGATCAGGATCCGCCACTATGCAGGTGGCACATGATGGCCAAATCTGGTGTCCAAGGGATTGGTGGGAACAAACTTCATAGCAATTACTTGGGTTAGCGCCGATAGATAGCGTTGAAGTAGCGGACCAGATTAGGTCAAAAAAACGGTTCTGTCACATTTGCTGCTGATCTTCTTCGGCCTTACCCAGCAGCCTTAGTGGACCCTGCTCACCTCACTCGTTCCGCATTCAAGCTTGGAGAGACTGTGGCACATTTGTGGCAGTTGATGAATTTCAGCACTTTTTAGTCCCCTTCCAAAATCTGTTGGTCCCCATCATGGCGGTCTTCTTATATGAATCAACTTATACCAAGATTGAGGCTAAGGTTACTAGAAAGGTGTTGTGGTATTGAGAGGTACCAATGACGGTAGGACACAATCCAAGTATAGCTGTGGTCAGGGGATACAATGCCCCATAATTACTACTTAGGCTCATAATTGAGTTCACCGGATTCTAGAGCATATATACAGTAGCGCATCATATATTGAATTATTCTGCAGGGTCTCCTGCGCGATACATGTATGTATGCAAGCACCCTTTCCGATCAAAATCGATCTGTGACCAAATCTCCACATAGAGGAACCCAACCAGGGGCATATGACAGTAGCTAAATCTTGGTAATACGGGGCAGTTTTGGCTTCCAGAAAGGAATAGCTCAGCCTAGGCGCATGGACTCCACACATGAACTCAGTCTGCAATAAACTCAATCCTAAGATACGTCCTATAATCTTGCCGCATTCGGCCAACCGCCACTAGTCACCGCGGTACCCAACAATTGCCACCTAACAACTTCATGGATATTGTCTAGCTAGCTATTAAACCAAAAACAGTAGTAGCTAATCGAGGATGTCTCCATTAAGCGCTTGTTCGCAACATGATACGTTTCGAAACCCACTCGCATTCCCTTCTACGTTAGCACACGACACCTGACGCTCACATTTTCCAGAACCACTTACTTTTTCCATCATCACCAGCGCTAAATTGGAGATTTTATGTGTCGTGCAACAACTCGGAGGTATTTTTCACTCGGCTCAATGGACAATTTCCGGTCTATGTGTATTGAACAAGTTAAACCCCGCCGAAGTCTGATCCATGGGATGAACCCCAATTATTGATTATGCAGAGTTACCCGAAACTCAACGCCGCGTGTCTTGATTGCCCCTTGCTTTAGAAAATGGCTGTCATCTTGAAAGCCTGCAAGACGGACAGGTGAGGCAGGATGTACGTTCAATAGATCGAATTGGAGATCGTATCAGAGGCTGTGGGTAGCCTGCTCAAAGGAGTATGTTACTCGGAGACACATCATCTAGTTTGCGTGGACGGGCTGTGATCCAAATACAATGCTCTCAAACGAGCTATTACCCTGCCGGTAAGTCTGTCTGCATGCTATGGTGAATTACAGTGCGTTGGATTCTGATGCTGCATATCAGAAAGTCGATTTGATCCTTGACATAGGCTCATGTAGGCGTGTGTTATGGGTTGGGCGCGAGAATCTTGGCAGGTGTTCTGTTGGAACATATCTCTGCTTGCTTCTACTTGATCTCACCGCGCTATATCTATTTGTTTCCATTTTTCTATTTTTCTTATTCCAGTTAGTTATTCATTATTTGCTTCACTCCCGTGGATGTTCCAGATAGAGTTTGGACATACTGTATCTCTGAGTCGAGGAGATAGCGGGGTATAGCGTAAGCGCAGAAATACAAGGGCCATCTAAACCCAAAAGCGTTGGGGAGATGATAAGACCTACAGGGAAAGTATTTACCGAAGAGAAAAGAGACGAAAGTCCGAGTCGGTAAGGTCACACAGGGTTTGCGATGTCCTAATGAAGAATGTGCCGACAAATGGGTTATGTGACCAGTCTTTCATAGAATTTCTGCAAATGGTATTGTTGAGAAGATAGTGGCAGTACTTATTCGTAATATGTATCACGGATATCCAATTGTAAATGATGCATGCTAAACTAGAGGCCCCAGCAGATAAGACAGTTTACGACTGCGATCCTTGCTGCGGAAACCGAGCACAGGCTGCAACGACGGACAACTGCAGCATTTGACACCTCGCCGTAAATTTGTATTAGACAGAAACATCCTGCGACATGACTAACCCCGTAAGTTGGGTTCGTGATATATCTAAGATGCATAAAAGCAATACAGCTGCGACCTATCTCTCCTTTAAAGCGAAACTTTTACGTACATCTTGCATGCACTTAGAGACCGGCAGTGGACACTAACGACGTGTCGCGAATAATCTAGAACACCTCTCTGCTTACCGTCTGTCAAGTAGGCTCTGATCGGGTGGTGGTGAAGGGAGGGGCTCATTCGACTACATCAGATCTGGCTAGGGGAGTAATTTCTGAATACAACAGATATTCTGTCGGTGAATAATTCATTCACAACAAGTATTGTAACCTGTGTGACTACTAAGCATCACCAATCGTAGGCTGTAGTATGCGATTCATAATCGCGATCAAAATCGCAGATGAGACTGGATAACAGAGGTATACAGCCAACTTCGTATCATTCTGTCAAGCTGGAGGTTATAGGAAAGTCTGGAGAATTTTGTGTATCTACTCAAATAAATAGCCATCTGAGTATATTTCATTTCATGATGTTACTGAAAATGAAAAGAAATGAATTGGTTTGTTGTTTGACACTCATAGTATATGGCTGAAGTATCTTGCATGATGCTGGTACAAATATATATATCTTATAACAGTAGTCAGGTCAGATCCATGACTAAGAGTTTTGACCGACCACTGATCTTCTGCTAGCTTGATGCTTTGTTCTTCTTTCCCCAACAGGTACTATATCAGAGTCCTTGGAAGATGAGAAATTGACTAGAATGAATTCGTCCTTCCGCTTAAGATGACATCGCCTCGTACAAGATTTGTGCATTTAGATGAAAAACAGGGGACAAAAGTCACATTTTCCCGTCCTACTTACAGGGACAAATCCATAACTGGTGGGAGAAGACGGTAAATGCTGGTGTTAAATATGTGCGACGGTGCGGAATGCACAGAGGCGCATTACAGAGGCCTGACTGGTCATGAAGATGAAGCTTGACTTTCAGCTGAGGGTGAACATTGGGGCGGTGCAGATATTCTAGCTACATATTTCTCAACTTCTGTAAAACAGATATCAACCAGCTTCTATGGCTCAGTTGGTAGAGCGCATGACTAGTAATCATGAGGTCCGCGGTTCGAATCCGCGTGGAAGCATGTTTTGTTTTTGTTGTCTTTTCCGTCTTTCAGACCCACTGCTCGTCGGCAGAATGTTTAGACGGCGAGGAAAACGGGATGCGTGTAGCTTTTTAGTCACCCTTCAAGACAATTACTACATCAATCCAACGTGGATAGACTGTTGCCCTCCTCGGAACAGGAGAATATTTCCAAAAATAGGCCAACCACCCTCCCTTTTCTCATATCATATCAATAGATATTGACCGACTATCCAGTAAAGACCCTAAACTCCGTGTCAATCTTGATTATCAGTACTTGCAGTTTATCAGGCCTTTCCTCCCCTGCTAGGCTCACCTCAGAATCAGTCAATGGATCAAAGATGGGACTGAATACGTGATGGATTTGCTTAACCCTATTCTCCAAGGCCAGGCATTAATTGGCTCTCAATTGATCTTTTGACACTTCTCCAAGGGAATCGGAAAAACCGGCCACATAGCATCCTCGGATGCTCCAGGTGGGCCATTCGGATATCCCGCGATCGGCAGGGCAGTTCTGCACCCCAAGCAGTCCCAATCATGGATGCGTACGCAGCCGAGTCCCGTGAAGGCGAATAACATGTCGCTGCTGGATTCAGTCCCACCCCCGCGTAGATTTGACTCTCTAAAGTATCTCTACCGAGGTCAATGCCGATGCCGGTATGCATTTATGGTTAGACAGAGTGCTCAGAAGCTGGAGAATCGGTCTTCACAAACGTGGGGACCCCGGACACATAAAGGCAAGCAACCACTCCCCCCAATTTTCGCATCAATGCGTCATTAACCATGATCCTGTCCACCCTACTCCTTCTACCGGCTCTAACGGCCGCCATTGATGATCACTTAACTGTCCGCACAAGAACAGGCAAATTCACAGGCCTTCTCAATCCAGACTTTCCATCCGTGCGGGAGTTCCGATCTATCCCATACGCGCAACCCCCGGTAGCCTCACGACGATGGCTTCCACCCGCGCCTCTCGCCGACTCCGATGAAACTCACTACGCGACCAACTACCCTCCCTCCTGCGCCCAATATGTCTCCGGTAACCCCAGCGTCTTCGGCTCCATCGTCCCCGAATTCTACATATGGGACGGGAATGAGAACTCCACCGCTGGCCTAATGGCCCAAGCCAGCTCCGAAGACTGCCTGCAACTCGCCATCTGGGCTCCTACCAACGCCACCAACCTCCCTGTCATCGTCTTCTTCACCGGCGGAGCATTCAAAACTGGCGGAATCAACATCCCCTACCAGCTGCCCCCATCCTGGGTCTCTCGCACCCAAAGCCACATCGTAGTAACCACCAACTACCGCGTCAACATCATGGGTTTCCCCAACGCCGCCGGCCTGGACAACCAAAACCTCGGAATCCTTGACCAACGGGCCGCCCTGGAATGGGTGCACGAAAACATTCATAACTTTGGCGGGGATCCCGAGGCCATTACCCTCTGGGGCCAATCCGCCGGCTCCATCTCCACAGACTTCCACACCTACGCATGGCACGACGACCTCATCGCGCGCGCCACAATTTCCCAATCCGGCACAGCCCTAAAGCCCCTCGACAACTACGACCACGACCACACGAACTTTACCTTCGTCGCCAAACACATGGGCTGCGACTTCCCCACCAACCCGGCCGCTGAACTTGACTGCATGCGCCAAGTCTCCGTCAACCGCATCCAGAACTTCGTCGGACAGTACACCGACAATGGCACAACACCAAAATTAACATTCACCCCCATTGCAGACGAAAAGGTCGTCTTCTCAGACTACCCCGCTCGCGCTGCGAAGGGCCTCATCGCCAACACTCCGGCCATCATGTCCAACTGCGCCAACGAGGCCGCAGCGCTATACACGTTTCCCATAAACAACGTCACCGCGGGACCATGGCAGCCTGGTGTGAACGCCGCCACATTGGAGGGCTGGCTCTGCGTGTCCGCGAACACAAGTATCGTGCGGTATAATGCGAATCGCACAACGTATCGGTACCAGTTCGCTGGGAACTTCAGTAACGTGAGTCCGATGCATTGGTTGGGGGCGTACCATTCCAGCGACCTGACGATGAATTTCGGGACGTATCCGATTGTCCGTGGAAATGCAACGTTGCTGGAGAAGAAGACGAGCGAAACTATGCAGGATTACCTGTTGGCGTTTATGAGGGATCCGGAGAACGGGTTGGAGCGGATGGGGTGGCCAGCTTTTGAGCCGTTCGGGGAGAATGGTGGACTGATCAAGCGATTTGGGGCTGATGGGCGGCCGGAGCAGAATGTTACAGGGTTGGAGGTGCAGGGGGCTTGCTGGGGGAAGGAACAGTATGATCCGTTTCCATAAGGATGAATATGTTGTGGGGGTTAGAGGTAATCCTTCTTTCTTATTCTTTCTTTGGTCAAGCAAACTGCAGTATACCGACGGCTATGTACATGTAAAGAGAAGGCAGCATAACACAACATTGTATATGTTATTGACTATTATAGAGACAACACAGTCTTTAAGTTTGAGTAACTGTAAATCAGGATCCATTCCTTATGGCCTTATTGTACCACATAATGTCTAGCCAACGAACCACCTTAATAATTTGAGTGAACCAGTGCGCTCGATCGAGTATGCCAAAGAAGCACCAGGTAGTGCCTGGCGAGATTTCTATAATGAAGGGCCCGAGAAATTTCACTTGAAGGTCTATCGATATGAATATCATTGTGTACAATAGCTAACACAAAATCATAGCCGTAAAGGTATTAATGTGACCAAACCCAACCTATCCCGGGGCGCGAGTCAAACGAAACACCAGCTGGATAATCAATCATTACAATAATTGTGCTTCCGTGGGGTCAATGCAGTTCACAAATCAAAGGACCAATGCCAATTCATCCAACCCATTCATGGATCTATTAGGGGAAATATTCTCATCGATGTTCGTCCTCATAATCATGCGCGGTTACATAACCTTGGGCTGCCCATCCAGTTCGGGATGCGGCCCGGTCCGATCCAGCTCATATACGGGATGAGCCACGGGTTGAGTCTGCGCCCACGAACCACCTCCCAACCCATTATATCCCCCGGCTCCTTGGGGAAGAACATTATTCTGCGCTTTCCGCCGGCGGAAGTACAGAAGTGCCAGTATGGCTGCGACTATGACGAATCCTGCGGCAGCGCCCACACCGATTCCGGCGGCCGCGCCGGCACCGATACCGGAAGATGCACTGCTCGACGAACTGGTAGAGGAGGAAGAGGACGAAGTTGTCGTGGTATTAGCGTTTGAGGAATCGGAGGTAGAGGTAGAAGATGCGACCGCATAAGTTGGCGTGCCGGACGCCGTGGACGGCAGATATTGAATGGTAGCGAGTTTTGAGGGCGCGACTCCGGGGAAGATTTCATCGGAAGGGTTCGAGCAGTTGACCGTCCCGTATGAATTTTCGCAGCAGGCCCAGTAGCCATCGGAGGTGTATACAATCTCAGCGCTGTTTCTGCCTCCTGTGAAAATGAAGAAAATACTCATGTTAGCGATCGCATTGTTCTTGTCAGGAGATGAAATCAATTGAATCTCACCACATCGTGTGCCGCAGGCGGGATCTGTCAGGGTTTCGTCTGTGCAGTCGGCCGCATAATAATAATCTCCGTCCTTGTCGTTCGTGTTCACGCAGATGGAATTGCTGAGGCAGTAGTCGCCATTGACGCAGCAGGTAACATAGGGATGACTGGAGTTGGTGACACCACACGGCAGGTCGGCCTGGATATTCTGAATTACCCCGTTGTGCATACCATGGCAGACTTGTGAAGACATGATGATTATGGACGAACCGGAGCGTATGCCGGTTGTTGGTTCAAGGTCGGATATGCACCCCCTTTGGTCGCGCAAGGATTATGACCCCCAGAATTGGTTTCTGTTGGATTTCTCGGGCGGAAATGCCATCGAGCTTTGAGGCTGATGAACGCGAGGATAAGGGATCGGAAAAACCATTGCTCGTGTCTGTGTGTTTTGGGGGCCAAAGGCTGATCATGCTCAATTGTGAGGATTTGGCGGAGATGCGCTATGATGGAAGAAGCCAATGAAAGACAGATGGAGAGCAGCGGTGTCACTTTAGCTTGCGGAAGGGACGCACTAAAACAGCCTCTGAACTCTTAAATCAGCGCTTGCTAAGGTAATAGGGTAACTACACCTGATCGGGCCTCGCCGGCCTCGCCGGCCTCGCCCTTATACGGATGGCTTGTCGATCGCAATGACACCCGTGATAAACTGCGACAGGGTTCTTTAGGGTGGAATATACTTCCCCAGTTAGTGTGATAACCATGCCGGCCTCACCATATTCCGCCAACTAGTTAATCACAATTTTAAATACGAAGGTTTGCTATTTTCGTGGTCAACAAAGTAGGCTAAAGCCTTGGCTATTTATACATTGAATAATTACGTATTGCGTGCTGGTGGTTTTATATTCTTAGCCCATACAAAGCGGATCTTATAGCATTCATGGACCTAGAATAGCTAATGCGGACATTACGATCGATGGATTCAAATGAAACGTATTAGATAATACGGTAATTACCACAGATTTGGAGAATCACTGTATGCCCATATTGACATGGGTGAACTTAGGGTGTACAGGTCGCCAGGTCGCCAGATCGCACGGAATTTTACCAGGGCTCTTACTGGTAACTACCGTAGTTTTCGCCATAAAATATCCCTCTAGCAAGCTATAGATGGTAAGGCACCTCATCACCAATCTCATGATAAAGTGCCTCTAAGGCCGCTACAACGTCTTCAGGCAGCGGACCCGCCTCAATCGTGTCGATATTCGAATCCAACTGGGCGATACTGGAGGCACCAATAATGATGGAATCTCCATACTCTTTGCGAAGAATACCGTGCCATGCACTCCAGCGAAGAGCAGCAGCATGACCACCAATGCCATGGCGAGCCGCAACTTCAAGAGTCTTATCCGTTGCTTCCATAATGGAAGGCTTCAGGTAATTCCCGGAGTACATTGCGCCAATCATATGCTTGAACCAGTTAGCCCGCATTCACTTCGGGTGCCAGATGTTGCACTTACTGATGGGTCAAAACGTCCACCCGCCTTGAGCTTCTTATGGTTGCCGGCGAAAAAGCCAGCTGCAGCAGGGCTATAAGCATAAAACGCAATCCTATGCTTGCGCAAAAGTGGGAAGAGACACTTTTCCCCGCTTCTGACAATAGGGTTATAGTGGCCTTGGTATACACTAGGTTTCACAAAGCTGCGTTCTTCACAGATGTCGATAATCCGCTGGACTTCCTCTGCGGTGTAGTTAGAGAGGCCCCAATGTTTGATCTTGCCCTCCCTATGCGCTTGATCCATAGCTTCGCAAGCTTCCTCGAATGGAGTCTCGCGATCCGGTAGGTGAAGATATTCAGTGTTGATCTGTTTGATTTTCAGAGCATCGAGAGATAGATCAATCTCCTCAAGGACCTTCTCTTTCGTATGGCATCCTGGTTGGCCGGATTTGACTTTGGTATCAAGGATATACTTATCACCAACGTTGATGGCACCGATTCTTGGCTCTGAGCTACCAGGTGCCATGGGTGAGTAGAGGCGTGCGGTATCAATTTGGTGATATCCACGGGCAGCAAAGGCGCCGAAATAGGCATTTACTTCGTCGGGAGTATCGAAGCGTGCAGTGGGGTCGACAGACTTGTCTCCAACCTAGATGGTGCAGGTCAGTATTGGGATACACCAAAAAAGAGGCTTGATCGAGGTAAGGAAACTACATTTCCCGCTCCAAGGACCAGGTTAAGAGGCGAATTGCCTGGGAGCGCCATTGTGAACTCGTAAGACTTGATGAGAAAATTAAGAAATGATCTGTCTGCTTTTTGACGTTATCACATCGCCAAGGATCGCTTTTTATTGCCGTAGGTCTCAAGTTTCTTCGAGAGCTGGAGACACTAGTATGCCTATATATACTTTGAGACGTCTGTCGGCAGGCCTATGTAATATCCTGATATCTTCATATTCACATGCATGTATGGATTATACGAATTTCAAAAGTAACAAAGAACAACAAAGAAAATACAATGTGAACATTGGCTCATTCATCACAACGGGTAGTGGAATGACGTCAATGACATTGAGACCAACAGCGAGCATTCCATTACAATGACATTACGGAATGTTCGGAAAGTTGACTGCTGACTCAAAGATAGTGAAATGAGTATAATGCGTTTGTGAATTTGAATCTAAATATACATGACAGGTAGGAAACCTAATCAAGGTAGGCGATATCACTGATATTTATAGAAATAGCATGAAGAGCTTTCCGATGTGGACACTGACTTCGAAGCGTATATAGATGCTAGCCAGATCATAATAAATGGTCGGATGGGTTAACCATGTAGCTGGACAAATGAGAATGATGTCTGAAGATAGAAAAGGCTGGCTGGAACAGTCCATACCAATGGCAAATCGCTAACTGGTGACGGGGAGGCTGGGAGGCTGCCCAAACCGTGCGCCGAAGTCCATGCCTCAGACAAGCCAACATGCCATGGAGCATATCTTGCAAAGAGATAAAACAGCACGACGATCAATGCCGTCTCCATGAGCCCCAAATGCGACATGCTCAATTGCCGGTAAAACAAACTAGAGTTTCAGTGCGCATGTGGGTATGTCTACCTGCTATCCCCATCTTGCTAGGAGAAATGCCATCTGAGAGCGTATCACAAGTGTCGATTGTAGACCCTTGCCTAGCGGGTTTCAAATACCCGTAGTGTAAAAAGTGACTTCTTCAGTCGGCTGTCCGGCATCTCTCGACCTCCTTCCTTTTACATGCCGAGTTTAATCACCAGCCTCCTATTCTGTCTAACTTTTGTTTTGCTGAAGGTCTTTATAGCACCAGATGTTGCTCGTGTTACAGTGGAAGATCTTCTCGGAATGAATAGGTCGCGTATCTGATATGCCCCAAGTGATCATACTGTGGAATAGTAACTGCGACCGCAACAACCAGCGACTCGAAGGCCTACTTATGCAGGCAACTCTTCATTGGAACCAAAGGCCAGATTCCTTCATTGAAGAACTCGGAAGGATTCCCGCAGAAACAATGTGCATAGGGCAGACGGACTCCTCCATAGACCTGAACATCTTGATCGATCGTATGTGGTAGTTGCTCCTGGCGATGGTCTATCTGGAAGAACTCCTACAAAGCTTAGCTTCTAGCCAACACCCTTCCTCCTAGTGATGGAGACTTAACCTCTTCTGGCAATGAAGGATGTGTTCGTGGATAAATTGTAAAATTATTGACAAGTGGATCAGCGAGTGGGGCGTGGAAATCGTCCGGTGAACCGCGGTCTGGGTGAACAGCCAATTCCATCAATCACAGCCTAATGCCAATTCCTGCCCTGAAGCTTCCAAGCCCAACGTGCGACACCATCTGCCGGTGGGGGATTCCACGCGTCGTAAAATCCGTTTCCCCAC